TACATCGACGTTACTTTGTCCTCAAATCTTTCATTTTCCCTCGATATTGCTATTTGGAATAAACTACCCATGAGTGCGAAAACTCTGCAAAATTATCCTTTATTTAAGAGAACTATTACTCGCTTTTTGCATTCAGAAAAGCTCCCACAAATTTTGGGTGCTGAATCTACTGATCGACTGTACCGTAGCGATGGCGTTTGTGGTCTCTGAACACTATGGCCGGTCTCACCAGCTGTTCCTCGACGCCTCTACTTTGACTATCCCCAACTTCATGAAAGGAATTTGACGTCCGATAATCTCCGATACCGTGCAACCTCCCCCCTTCTTGACGGTCGATATTCTCCCACCGCCGGCAGTTTTTTCCCCTGAGCCCTCCAAACCACAAAAACCAACATCAACTATATTTTTATCCCTTAAGCTCAGGAGTTTTTTTCACTGCCGGTCGGATTTATGTTTAATCGCTCCCCTTGACAATGCCTGTAAACTGGCATAAATAAAATTTATTTATTTATTTATTGAGTCCCTACTTACTAAAGTTCGTAAACTTCTTTATTACATATGTCGTTTATGTTCCTACCACACACCTCAACCCTTAGGATGACGATTAATCGATGTCCGCATTCTTCCTCTTATCCTATACTGCTCTCCTGTCACTTTTCTTCTTTGCTTAAAAAAGATCTTTTACATTTGAAATGAGTCCTCCGTATGCTCTCTTCTTATCTTTTTTAGTCGACATTTCAATACGGTCAAGAAATTTTCTGGTCGGATTATAGATGACGTTACTCATCCCCTGCATTCGGATCTTATTTATGCGAAGCCTTCCCGCCCGATGTGCCGCAGCTTCCGACTTATGTCTTGTCGCACATCGGCTTTTCAGGCTTCTGTATTGGCTTTCCAGGCGCACTATCTACGTGCGAAAAGATAGAAATACAGAAACTAAAACTTGTACTGTCGTCATAATAATCGTTCCTTTTGTATTAAACTTTGACTCTTGAATAATTTATTAACTTATTTACTGCCCATTGTGGATGGAGCCAATTCTTTGCCGAAAATTTTGAATTTATGATTTCAAAATAAAGCGACTTTCTCACTATCGCTCTCTCTACCAGCACATGTTTCCGTCCTAGGGTCTGGGCCGACCTGCGATAGAGGGTACTGAGGTCCAGTCGGAGGGGTCACACTTCGTTCATTCTGGAACTACTGACTAATAAGTCTGGTAGTTTTTTAAAGCACATATAGCGTTAGTAGGCTCCTTGTGTATATCACCCAGCAAAATCATTCAAGCAAGCCACTCTTCGTTACTTGTCTTCAGAGGACTGGGGCCACCGGGGCCAACCCGTTGAGCTCTCAGCCGCTGGCTCCGCCGTTTGACCCCATTCACATTCCGTCCGCACTATAAATACAATTGCCGCATTATTAAGCGCTCGAGCATAAAATGAAAGACGAATCCTCTATCGTATTGGCCAAGCCCTTAGAAAGGGGTGTGTGCTAGCATGGATCATATTCTATACAAATCCATGCTATCAGTGAACACGACGGATCTACGCCCAATCTCTGTAGTATAGCCATTAGTGCAGACTACTAATGACAGTGGAAATATCAAGGAATCTTTGGGAAGAACACTTTCTATTGGTGCCAATTCGAATGCAGTATTACCAACAGTATTTAATTTTGGCCCTAGTGACAGGAAGCTTTTATTCCTTTGGAAATCTGCTTCGGATCCCACATTCCAAATTCTTTTGCAGGACAGGACGGTAGGTCACGCTGCCAAACGATATCATAAAAAAGAAGAAATGCGCACTCACCGACTCATGGAATTCGTCCATCCTTTCTACATATAAATAGCGCTGGTAAGATAGGGACTACCGCAGACAGAAAATAGTAAATTCCTATCTTGCAGGTACGCCACAAGTGCTTAACGATAGGTCACTTTTTGTAGTACAGACAGTGTGGATACGTTTCTTGCTCAGATGGCCCTACCAAAACGGTAAACTGTTCCTCAACGTTTCTTTACGGAGGACTGGGTTCGAATGGGCCGCAGTGGAAATTCTAGACCATGGCCCCATATGTTTTCCCTGTCTGCCTCCATCCATCGAAGGAGACAAGGCCTCAAGTTTAAATAAGTGGGCCAGGCTATCCTAGTCCTCCGAAAACAATTAGCAGGAGGTAGTCTGTGCATGCGACTGTTTTCAACGAAGTGACTTGCGCAAAGAACTACAGCACTGTTTGTAGTACAAAACTTGCGTTGTCAAAAGTCCGTCATGGTAAAAGTAAAGGACCAACAGCTTCTTGGACTGATACCTGATCCCATTCGTCCCAGTTTGGTACAGTTCTTAAAAAAGGTGTACGCGCAAACAGTGCTGTCTTCTCAAGTATGAATTTTTAGTTTCCAGGGGATTCTTAACGAAATCTCATCCGCGCGGATGATTTTATTTCCCCAAAATGAGGAGTTCTTTAAAAGTCGTTCGTGAATAGAAAAAAGTCGTTTTTTGTGGTTAGTTAGAACACAGTCCGTTTTTCCAGTGAAACCAGGCAGGAAATACCGACAGATATGCTCAACTTTGTTTGTGCCCACGTATATATCCAGTAACAGATCGTTCCTGAGAAAAGGGACCCTGTTCCTATTTAAATGTATTATTTCACAGATAGCTACGGAGCAACTTCCGTTTTTTGACCGCTTTGTGAAGCAAATTACCCTCTAAGTCTCGCGGTCATTTGAAAATTGATACTCCTTCAGGTTTGCTCTGGGCCTTGAATTCCGTACGTACTGCAATTTCGGTATTTCGTTCGACGCTCTCATTGCATTCCCTGTTATTATATACTTATTTCTATGCCCGACGTTGGTCGATGAGGCTAGTCGATTTTCCATTGTCTTGCCAAGGAGCAGTGGCTCGCCAAGACTTGAAAGAACTTTTCTTCGAAATATCACCGACCTCGGTTTTATTTCCGAAAAGAACGGCCTTGTACTGCAGGCGCGACGAACAGCCACGTTTTTGTTATGGATATAATCTAAGCAGATGCTCTATTGTACCTAATCGTGGAAGGCTCGGCTGTATCCATGACGTTTGGACCCACAGTGCTATGTGCAAAGCTTATCTAGAACCAATTCTGTCGGACGTTCGAACTCTTCCCAAACTGCTGAATTTTTTAAAATCGGGTAAAAGTAAATATCTGCAGAGGTTATACATACGACAGACATGTGGCCATTTCGTAGCGTTAATGATTTCAGTTTTAGGCAGCCAAATTGGATGAGGCCAATTATTCACAACTGCTAAAACACCAGTAAATCTGCAGACACAGAATTTGACCGTACCTTTCGCTGTTAAACCTCTCGGACAGAAAGTTCACTTTGGAACGCTTGGTTGTGCTTCGTCCATTTCGTCATTACCTTACTGAAGCCATCAGTCCCTTGCTAAAAGTAGTCAGGTTGCTCTCTCCACGATCATTTTCTTTTTGCCTTTACCACTGAATCGCGGTTTCTCAGTTTTTCAATCTAGGAATCGTTTGGTTTAAAAGGCCATTTGTGGGATTTTCGGGAATTGTTTTTGACACAAAAACATAAGTTTTCGGACAGCGGAAACTAACAAAACCGTACTCGCGCTGTTTCCGTCCGTTCATTAACCTTTTTCCATGCTACGCGCTAAACGAACGGCTACCTACTCATTCCTGTCGGTGGCAATCCTGTCTGATTGGTTGGGATCATTCTATTCCCTCATGTCGTGAGCGACAGAAACTCCCCTTTCTGTCACTTTCGTCACAACTGTTTACAGATATCGACTTAATCTTCAGACCAGCCTCGCATCACTTTCCGTTCTTTACTAGCCGTAGGTTGTTGCTTGCCACATCAGCCGAATGTTCCAAAAAGTATTTCGCGTAGCTACGGGGAATTGCATGAATCGGGAAAAGGGGGACATTTTCAAATCCTTGATGAAAAGAAAGGTATATTGTCATGTATATTTAGATGTACAAAAGGTCTAATTTCGCTAACACTGCTAAATACGCAGAACGTTCCCGAGAACTTATCTATAGACAGCTAGTCTTCGGATTCTCTGCGCCCGAGTCACTTGAAGTGTCAGCGTTATTCAACTGTCCCCAGTGTAAGACTCTACATTTACTTGATCACTTTCCTCACTTCACGTTACCTTAAATGAAGATTTTCTGGATTTGTCGCCTTTGTTCGTTTAAACCGCACCACTAGTCACCGTCATTCGGCAACCGTTTCTCTGCTGTATTAGTAGATCCAAATTATCGACCTTATAGTTTTGGGAGGAATGCATCCAAACTAATCAAAAGGTTTATTCTCCTACCCTGTGCCTCTCACACTGACTAAGGCTCTTGCCGTTTCACTATATCTGGCTGCAGGCGTCAATACAACCGACGAAGGTGGCTGACCAGCAGAACCCGAGTACGTATATTGACGCAACAAGCCTATCTCCGGGTGAAATGCCGATACTGACCCTACTACAGCAAAAGACTGCCGAGGGACAGTAAATAATTAAGTACATGCATTTAGGTAGACGGCAGCGTTTACGCGATAACGGATACTTAAACTTGGCACATTGTGATTGTTAACGTCGGATGAACGACTAGTGCCCACATTTGATCAGAGTTGTTGAACAGTTGGCTAGTCACATGAAGGAAATTTAGGAACGTTTTGTTCGGTTGCAGTTTTAGGAACCAACAGGAAGGTCGACGGTGAACCTTCTGGTTTGCGATTTGCGGACAGAATGCAGCGAAATAGTGTTTAAGTGAGCAAAATGATTTTCGCAGCGGAAAAGTCGGACAGGCGCGAAAGTAGAGTTGTTTGACCGCTACTCGGTTTCTTTCCGCCGTCCTTCGCTTGGTTGCCACTGTTTGATCCCGTTTATTTGACATTAACTTTTGGAGTCTTGTTCCTCTCCACCAAGGTGTTTTCAGTCCTCAGAGCGTGCGTCAGACTGCAACCGTAAACTCATCAAGCGACTCGTTTCTGCCCAACAGCAAAGTGCTGCCAGTTGACTATGGTTGAGGTAATATCTGTACTTCTACTAATTGTCTTTCAGCCTGTCCAGAGACATTCGGTGCACACTCTAGTTTTCCGTTCTCTCAAGAGAACTCATGATATGTTTGAGGCCGATCAGGCCCGACTACCGGAGCTAGATGAAAAGTCGTATGTTGTGCCTTTGTATTTACTTCTTGCCAGAGAAAAACTAAAAATGAACGTAAAAAAGCGTGACCAGTATGGACCGATTTTACATCAGCCTATTGCCACACCTACCCAAAACACTACTCTCAGTAACTGGAATTGAAGTACGTTAATGTGTTTAGGTCTTCCGAGTGCCGATTCTGACAAGTCAGTTGTTCCTGTTGAAAAACAAGGCCCCACCAAGTACTTATCATCTTTTCCAGTTTATTTTTTAAGGTTGCCGACTAATTCGTCTGACACGCACATCGTGCAAATCGGCAACGAGAAACTTCTTTTGCCCAAGAGAGCGCCAACGATGCCTAAGCCCGTGTGGCATCCACCATGGAAACTATTTCGAGTATGCAGCGCTTTTTATTTCTGAACTTCAAGGTTATTAGTGGGCATTCCGGTTGGGTCAGATGTATTTCATTTGACCCTACAAATGAATTTTTCGCCACCGGTGCGGCCGACAGGATGATTAAGGTAAAATGCACGTTTTGCGATAAAACTCATCTAGATTTGGGACTTCGCAAGTGGCACACTTAAGCTTACACTAACTGGTCATATCAGTGCCGTACGAGGTGTGGTTGTGAGTCCGCGTCAGCCTTACCTATTTTCTTGTGGCGAGGACAAAACTGTCAAGTGTTGGGACCTTGAGCAAAACAAGGTACCTGCATAAATCGTTTACCATATATATATGCATAGGTGATTCGACACTATCATGGGCACATGTCAGCAGTGCACGCAATTGACTTACATCCAACTCTTGATATCTTGGTCACTTGTGGCCGGGATGCAACAGTACGTGTCTGGGATATGCGGACGAAGGTAAGTATCCTTTCCAGTGACTGCGTAATATGCTATAACACGTGGCTCTGTTTTGATTATCAGACACAGTGCGTATAAATTTGCTGAACTTCTTGCCTGCAACACCGAAAAGCTGTCTGCTATTTGTGTGGTTTATTGAGACATCTTCAAATGCAGTAGACAGTAGAGCATACCACCAGTCGGCCAACATCGGAAAGGTCACTAGTTATTGAGAGTCCGAAGAAAAAGTAAGGTCGATACCAAAAATAACTGGCACGCTTGAGTCGTAATGGCAGTCCGATAGTGGTGGCTTGGAGAGTTGCCAGCCAGAAGTAATTTGGCCTGCATTTAGTGCGTCCTTTCTGCACGTTATGTGTATGGCTTTCCAACCCCTGCCCGTCACGTGCTAGAAGACAAAAGGTCACTTTAGCCACTGTCTCCTATTACATTCGCGATCGACCTGACTCGGAAACGCCCGAGACGTGCAACAAGGAGGGAGGGGGAGGGAAAATACTACTGATGCAGCTCGAATCATACGCTGACTTTCCTCGGACAAATAAACGCGGTTCGAACCTATGACGATGGGCCAACTGTTGTGATCTGGACAACTGCCGACTGTCAAAATAGCTCAGTCTCACTACCTACAAGGGTCAGGTGTAGATTCTCTGTCCGCATGCCTTCTTTCCTATTACATGACTAAATTAATCTTAAATAACTGCTAATAGTCATTACTCATAGCTCCTATAAGAAGTAGATATAATCACCAGGCGGGATCGAACGGTAATCCCTAATTCACGTGAGTTGTTCTACTGCAAGTGTATGAATAGCGCGCCTGCAAGTTGTACAGATGATCGGCATTCCTATAGCTGGCTCGTTAGGCAGGCCTAGTTACGGGATACCGATTTTCCCCGCGACTGTTAAGCTAGTCTAGTTCCGTGGTCGAGCACCCGGCGGCTGGATCTCGCCCGGTTGCGTGGGTTCCATGTTCGCGAGAGACCTCATTCCCCATAAGTCTTATAACAAAGAAATATTCTAGTTTGGAATATTGCGGCCTATACTAAGTCCGCACACAGTAGCGAATACATCCTTACGCAGGCTTTAGTTTGCCCGGCAACTTCGTTTAAGACTTGCGCATTTTCCCTCAAACTTTCCAGTGCGTCTTGGTGTGCTGTGGACTGTTATACTGTAGCACATCAGTGATTGTCAGTTTTACTCTGCCATCTTTCAATGAATCTTCAGGCCGTACCATCAGAAGGTTCCATTTATTTCACCCCTTACCACTATAAGGAAGTTTGTATTTAAGTACGTGCAATCAATGTAATTCAGGAAGTCGCCAATGCATGTTTTGGAATGTTTATCATCAGACCTATCCAAAAGTACACGCTACAGCAAGCTAGTAAGAGACGAGCAACAATCTGCCGCAATGGTGGCGAAGAGGGTTATTAGGTCGTCCCTAACTATATGGCTCATATGGGTTCACCTACGTCAGACTTTCATGACAAGGGAGCTGTGAATTTTCCACTGATTAACCCTGAATTTCAGTGATGTGATCATTTTTTGAGGTCAGAGGGAAGATGCCAGTGAGCTGTGTTTGCATTTCGTCTCCATAGTGTGACGTGGTAGGATACGGGTATGGATTTGTAGAATTCAACTTTCGTCGGTCGGTGGAGGGCACGCGCAAACGTTGCCTGGGAGCACAAGATCGGATTAACCAACTGTACACGAACCTACTTGTATGGCTCAAGAGTTTGCTGACGCAAAAATGTGCCGTCTCGCCACCCGTTTGTAGGTGTCTTGGGAAACTTGGTTGAGATCCACTCGGTTGCCATCGCCAACTAGGCGAGCAACGACTGCGCCAGATAGACCTCCAGTCTCTTAGTTGAGCCGGACAGGATGGTGCTCTCGTTTCCGTTTTAGGTACCTAATTGCGCGGTCAAATAGCCAACTATAGGTGCAAGTACACATTAAAAAGGTCTGAATAAGCGGTTTTTGCTTTTAGTGTGAGCTTATCTCGGCAGCTGGGGGTGCGTAATGTAATGGTTCCGTCCTGCTTATCGAAACGCCTGCTTTGGCAGCCGTTCTTACACATGTCTTATGGTGCATTTTTGGAAGTCTTTCTAGCAGGACATTTAGTATGAAAACTACATATGTGGTCCATTTTTTTACTTTTTGCTGCCCTACCATGACATACAACCGTAGAGTCTTGATGGTGACAACGTGCGTTTTCCGACTTTGACCTTGGGTATTATCACGGCGTTTATCTGTTTCATCATAGGCCGCCTAAATTACAATCTTTCCCGTCCTAGCAGACACCAAAAAACTGGGTAACAATCGGGAGATGGCACTCAAAAAATCCGTTACCTAGAAATAATACGTTTAACAGTGGACTCAAACGCCTTCAGGCTATATCAGCGGTTGCAGGCCTACTGTCACGCACTACTTGGACTTTCCGCGACGGCCTAACATGGGCTGGCCGAACGAACATAGCAGGAGGTTACATGGACGATGGTCGCTGTTACCCAACCTTCCCCACCGTTACACACGTACACCTGAATATACGGCATACATTCGCATTATGGAAGTTTATTACAAAACTAAATCACTTTTAAGTAAGATAAGTCTGCACAACATGGGACAGGAACAGTTCCCAGGCATCTGTCAAAGACATGGCATTAAGGCCAAACCAAAGACGATACTGTACTTCGTCTATGTGAGCCCACACAGCTCGATCACATACAGGGCCTCCCTCGTGGAGTTTCCTTTTCAGTCTACTCCGGTATGCCTCAATGGCATTGGTGTGCCGTCCGGTGGTAGGGTCTTTGAAGTTATTTGAGTGGTTAACAGAGAAATGTAGATAACCTTCTGAGGGAAGACGATTATACGCCTTCCACTCGTCCGTTACCACTAGGCTGTCTTTGGCGACCTATTTTGTAATAACGGAACGGAGAGCGGGCCAACTTCGATCATTCGTCTGTTCAAATAAGGCTTTCCGTCGGCTAGTATCGTACATCCCGACCAGCCACCACCCATAAAACCCCTATTACCACCTGTCCCGTAGGACAGACTGCTTTGGTTAGGCGAATTTTTTTGGGTGCCATCTCCCGATCGTTACCAAAAACTGTTCGCACATAATTTAACCCTGGTTTTTGAAAAGTCTTATGAACGAATGGGGTTCCGTACGCCACCCACTTCTCTGAACCGTATCAACTTTTTTCGACATCTCTCTGCCCACAGCTTGATGTTTTTTCCTTCTTCAGGTCAATGTGCACACCATGACCGGCCACACAAACACGGTCTCTACTGTGCGCTGTCAGGAGTCCGACCCACAGGTCATAACCGGCTCACATGACGCCACCATTCGGCTGTGGGATTTGGCCACCGGAAGAACGATGTGCTGTCTGACCAATCATAAGAAGAGTGTTCGTTCGGTTTTCATTCATCCGACCCAGTGAGTATTCCATTATCTTAGTTTTCCTTAGAGATCGGGTTGGGATCTGTTGCAGACCTAAACGGTCAGTCCGCCCGCCAGGTCTTGTAAATGGAATATCTTTTTATTTAATTGCTACAAGTTTTTAAATATTAGTGGGCTTGAATTTGATGCTTTTCGAAGGGAAGATCTTCCGACTGGCGGCCGTGTTGGCTACATTTAAGTAGCTCTCTCAGCATTTTTCGGGCTCCTTTTCATCTAATACAGTTTGCTGTTTTAGTGGACTGGTAACTCGATCTCTGCTGCCTCTGTCACGAAAATCGAAATTCAGAGTCGTATGTCTTCCTAAGTATTTCTGCTCTTTATCCTAAACACTGCTCCTAAGAACACAGAGCCATCCTGAGGCTTCTGTGAGGTTCCAACCTCGCTGGAAGCATTTGCAACGTCATTTCTCCATCTTTATCGTGATTGTCGATTTTCCAGGCTGATGATCGGCAACCCCTTACAGTATTATCGTCACATGGCCCAAGACTGCTTTCTTCTGTCACGATTGCATGGTTATTCTGCGGCAGCCTCCAATTGAGGTCGTTCCACTGTCCGGTATATGTGGTGGCACCAAGGAGATCTCGTCTTGCCGGGGTTTTAACTCATTGCTGTGAGAATCAAAATGTGGTTTGGAGTATGTTAAGACAGTCGCCACTTCAATGCTGTCAAAATGCTAAAAGCAACGACGCGTCTTTTATTCACATCTTCTCGGATTTGTTTGCATATGAGCGCATAATCTCTAGATGGATCGTGTATTCTGGTATGACATCTGTAGATTTAGGACCATTTCAGAGTACGTGACCTGTCTCTGGTAGCAGTCTAAACCGAACCATAAATTGTTTCCAGAGAACCTACACACGATGTAGATGAGGGCCTGTGTTGCGCGTCAGAGTGCTTTGGGCACCGAACCTTTTTCTACTGATGCAGTTTATATTTTCAAATTCAGACGGAAATTATTGATCGGACATATGACAAATGTGTTAAACAGTCAACTTTTCAAACGTACCTGGATGTCACAGATTGCCAAGTGTTTGTGTCAATGAACGTTTGCTGTATTGGAGTGACTGTTGCCACTTCAACTTGCCCCTGGGACTTGCGCGCGACGTTTAAACCAATATGCCAGGTGATGCGTAACCCACAAGTGCTCGGCCTCAACCAGTTCTCGACCATTCTTGGATGGATAGACACCAACAGTGCGAATCCTGCCCGGAAAAGGCGTTTTTGATGTCCATGTTATAAATGGCTGCCTGGGAAAGCTGCACCGGTCTTTATTGCCAGCCAATGTTTCGGTACACATGTAGGGTCGAAATCTCGAATTTAACCACACTACAACGCATAGCAGGCACCACGTTTTTTTGCGACAGTTTAGTCGGCAATTATCCAATTCCTATACAAACCAGGAGGAACCTAAATTGTAGCAGATGAGATTTTTACATCGTCCGATGCTCTTTTTCTCCATCCACGGACCTGCCGCTGCATTTAGCGAAGGAATGCATAGACGAACTCGAGGCCCACGAAATGAGTGTTTCCGCAGTCGTTTAGTCGCAGCCTAGACATAAACCTGCTAATTAAATTCAGTCAAAAGTACTACCAGCAGTTGTAGTGGGCTCGTATGGGTTCACCTACGTCGGACTTTCTTGACAAGGGAGCTGTGAATTTTCCACTGATTAACCCTGGATTTCGGTTTCGTTATACTAATGGCATGTTTGTCGTCGTTGAAAACAGTAAACCGGAGACGTCCTGCAGCATTGGCCTGCAAACCACTAAGAAAATACGCATCCCAATAATGTTGAATTTGAGTAGCCAATCGCCGGAATTAATAACTTACTATTCGAGGTTTTGGATCTACTCTCGGCCTCATCTTCGTAAATATAGTCGACAAAAGTAGCATCTCGGTTCCGTGTCATTGTAGCTGTTTTTATTAATCTACGCGCTAGTCGATAATCTCTTGCCTTGATTCCGACCGCTTGATATGTGGGCGTGAGTTTGACATATTTATCTAGCGATGCGCGACTGAATTCTCACGTCTTGGTCACCTCCCGTCGCGCTGCTGGCGGGTTTTCAAACTGCTAGCATGACAGCAAAATTAAAGGTGTTATTCTGCTCCGGGCAGTGACTGACAATGAGCGATAGTGGGTCTCAGCCTCAAAACTGTCCTCTTGTCTTCATAAAGCCTAGTCTCTGATCATCGTTCACTTTTACATGTATAGTTGCGGAGGCAGTCAACGCATGGAATGCGGTAGATAGCAATCGACTGCTCTAGACTTTGTCGGTTCTGTACGTGCTTGATTTGGCGGCGCATTGAGTGTGCAGTGCGGGAATTTGGGTCTCAAACGTAACGTTCTGTCGTTGCTTCTAAATATCCCACGTGGGATGTGGCTCTCGCTAGTTTTTGTTTCTGGCGTGTCACAGTATATGCGTAGCCTTCCCTGGAGGGCCCTCATGCTGCTTTTCGTGTTAACGGCCAGCGCTTATAGTTACCGCTCGCGCCTCAAAAGTGACTACGAGGTCCCACACTTTAGCGCATCTTTTGTTTTAAAGAGCTTCACGGCAAAAAATCTCCACCTATTGCCCACTGAGTTGTTTGTATGACGAGTTGCTCACAGGAAGTGTCGAATCGCTGATAATTAGCCACCTCGTCTCCATCTACAGCCTCCTTTTCAATGACATGGATAACAATTGTCAGGCAGTCACCGATTAATTCTCTGGATTCTGATTTTAGCCGCAATTGGGCTACTTCCTGTTCGTTCAAGTAGGAATAGTGGTTGTTAGTCAGCACTATTTTCATCTGTCTTTTGAAATTGTTTACTGTCTGCTTAGTTCTAGTTTCGCCAATGATATGTAATTAACGCTCTTTGGTACGATTCCCCCACAAATGCGCGTGCAAAAATCTTAGGGGCAGGTCGAAGTACCGGCATCCGACGCAGACTGGACAGTGATATATGGCAAGCTCTCACTACCGGAAATGTAAAACAACCTTTGATCCCTAGACTGCTTGACACCTTTATCGCACGTCATGCGACGTGAGAGAAGGGCGGCAGCGAGGATTTAGGGAACAGGGCTTGTTGTCTTGTCGAAAAATTTCCCGAACCAAATTTATACATGTATATATATGAAGATTATATCCGCAAACGCCTTTTTCTACTCCAGGAACGCATTTGCGTCAGCCTCCCCCGACAATATTAAACAATGGAAACTTCCTCAGGGCACTTTTCTACAGAACATGTCTGGTCATAATGCCATCGTCAATGCCCTTACGATCAATATGGATGGAGTGGTGGTGAGCGGAGGTGAGTGTCTCTCTTACTGCCATTTTGCTTCGAAGTAACAATTGTCGGCGTCCAGCTTTGCTCTGCAATTCTTCACACAAGTTTATCCCTCGTCACTTTGGGATCTAGTTCACTGTAAATCAACGCCATATTCCAGTCTTTTTTTCCCTACCTCCTTGCCCGATGTCCATTGTGCACAAACGGTTGATATCTGAAAAGGCCTGAACGACAGACTTGACGCATGCATGTGTCCGATACAGTTGGAATTACGGCTGATTAGAACAGTTTCGACGGTATGGCGTATTGTACCTCCACGTCTGACGATGTGTGACATCAGATCCCAATCGTTCTCTGGCGGCGAAGACTGAACAGTACTCAGGGTCCAATAGCTACTTACATATCAGCTGCCTTTATCGTTACCTCCATGCGACTGGCGACGAAGAACATGCCCAAACCACCCTACTTGTTCTTCTTGGGCGGCCTGAGGTGCTCCCACGATGGTGCCACAGCCAGTGTTAACTGTCTTGTTTGAGACTAAGTCAGCGCAATTCACCTGAAAGCTCGTCTAAGACAGCGGTGGTCGAGTATCTCTAGTTTTAACTCGTTTCCAACGTTTGGGACCTGAAATATTAGATGATTTAGTAGACTGATGCCCGATGCACAAGGATCTTCGTGGTGACGGAGATGTCGCGTCGGGTCTACAAATACTCGGGGCCTGAGATAACCCCGTGAACAACGTGGACTTGGGCGATGCCCGTTTAGCTGGGATTTTGTCTGAGGATATTTTGGACTGTTCACTGCAACCGGTACACGTGCATAGTAGCGGGTGAGCACGTCTCGCACAGCCCCTGACCATTTTTTTACAGGTGCTGGATGTTTTTTGTGAAAGCCATCCTTCCATATCCCCGGCACAACACAGTAGATGTGCTACCTGATGAGGCGTCAACCAAAATCTCGAAATGTGTTTTCGTCTAGGAAAGATTACTTAGATAGGGTTTCCACAGAGACTGGAAACATTTCCCTCGCCTAGGAAGGGGAGTCAAGCACGGAGATAGTCTTGTGCTGAACTGTCGGACATTTTATTAGCAACTATCAAGGCGGTGTCTAACAGCCACCAGACAGGCCTGTTGCCTTTGTCAGTAACTATCTTGCTTTTGGTGTTTCTAGCTAATTATGGAGCAGATTTGTCTCTGAGCCCGGGTGCATTGCGTCTCGTTGGTAGGAGCATGCGGTAAGGCGACACCAATCGGTAAATATATTCTGGCTAACTTCCCGCGTGCATACGTGCTGCCCGATCTCATCTCCCCGTCTAGACTCAGGCAGACCGCTGGAGTAAGGCCGACCCAGCACGCACTCTCCCCACTAACATCCTACCGCGTTTACAAGCCATCACAACTCGCAAAAAAGTTAGGACGGTTGTCGGCTGACGTAATACCCGTCCTTGTATTATTACTATTATTGAAACACCACAGGTGTGGTAGTGGAGATGGTGCGAAAGTCACCATTGCACAACCTTCGGAGTGCTGGTGATCGCCGTCGCTTGCGACAGACGAATATTTACGGTGGCCGATGACTTGCACCTCATGTTCAGTCTTGGCGAAAAGAACCTGAGATATTATTTCGTTGAAATTTGTGGGTAACGACGAGAGTAGCCATGCTATGTTCGCGTAACCTGGTCTGTTTTCCTACCTTTGGCCTGCATTGACTAACGCTAAAGTAGACTGACAGAAGCACCAAGTTAGAAATTCCCACACTTTGACTGTCTCTGTGGATTTCTTCATGCTTTTCGTGGCGGATTTAGCGCCAGACCTTTTTCATCCGCGACGTGAGCTCGCCTCCCCATCGAAAAAACTACCGTTTGTACTGGAGTAGTGCCTTAATCGCCTGGTTACGGGTTCAGCTGTGCTGGCCACCTGCGCCCTCTTTCGCATTCGGTCTTCTAGACTCCGTCACGAAACGGGGCTCAGGTGGGGGGAGGAGAGAACGCGGTATATGCTGTGCAAGTGCACTACCACTATAAACTAATTCACGCACAAGTCACCGTGCTGTGGAGCACACGGTGGAAATAGTCAGCAACAACGGTCGAACTGTTTATGCCTTAATAGCCTAATGCCTTCTTTCTAAAGGTGACAACGGCAGTATGCACTTCTGGGACTGGAAATCAGGCTACAACTTCCAACGCCTACAGTCTCAGGTGCAGCCTGGAAGTATCAACTCGGAGGCCGGCATCTTCGCACTGGCCTTTGATCGCAGTGGTTCCCGCCTTGTATCCGCAGAGGCGGACAAAACAATAAAGATATTCAAGGAGGACGAAACTGCGGTAGGTGCTCCCCGTACTTTCAAAGTTTGCCTTTCACGCTGAGTACTCCCAGTGAAATCTAGTTATACCAGGTCTTAAACTTAAAAAGTGATCGGATCGGCAACAGGTTCAGTTTTTTTTAACAGCTTTTCTCCGATGAGAGAAGGGCACTTTCGGCCGGTTTTTCTACATAAATGATGGTAACCTCTTATTCTTGTAGATGGAGGAGACACACCTAACAAATTGGCGTCCCGGGCTCTTGCGTAAATCGAAGTACTAAAATTGTCGGGTTTCTATTTGTACATATTTTTTTCTAAAAAAAGAAATCACATAAAAGCATTCAACTTTTCCCTTGACACGTGGTCCTTCCGTTACGCGCCGCATCCCTCACCTCGCTGGATTTTTGGGAAAACTTTGCTTTAACCCGAGGCATGATGAATCCAGGAAGGATGATCAGGGCTGCTGCAGCGACTAGGCTGAAGAAGTTTTGCCGGAATGACTCCTCAAAATTCATCTGAGCAAGCATTGTACCCGCCTGCACCGACAGGAAATTGTAGGGGATCAAGCCTACGAAAGCAGAAAGGCAAGGAAGGAGGCGTGCAAAGTTCTCGACCTGGAAGGGACTACCATGCGCAAATATGAAAAGCCACCACCGTCATTACCACAGAAGCAGCTCTCAAGCAATCTTCCCCGGCCTAACAGTTCCGCACATGCCAGTAGGTCATGCGTAGCTCGACGTAGAATAGAGAAGGACAGGTAACCAGAGGACCGGAAGAGTGAAACCACTTGATACCCGCCGCGACCCCAGACACCATATGCGCACGCTTACAGCCCCCGCCGGGACAGTCGTCATTCACACGCAGCCGACTAGTAGGGTTGTCATGAGCGTATCTGCAAGCAGTGGTGGCTCTACGACGTCCTGAAAACAGATTCCCGTCGTATGCTAACCTAGTAGAAATGTTGGCTCGTAAACGGCAAGCTAGAAGAAAGTTCAGAGGAAAGACGCGGAACTCACCTATGAGGACTGACAGGAAGAAGAGGTGACCTGGTATTCCGGCCAGCGGACTGACAATGTTTAACAGCCAGTTCGGAGTCATTGGAAAGACGCGGCTGCCCAGCAGGAAGAAGAATATTCGGTCTTTGTTGTCTTGTACCTTAAAGCGAGCGGAGGAGCACGTGACTGGGAGCGCGTGCGTCAGGCTAGTTTTCAAAGGAGTTGCACACTTTAATGCGTAGAGCTACTGACCCAGGGCAGGCGTCATTTCCTCACACGCGACAGTCAGGGGAGTCTACTTATTCTAGACGCCGCTGACTGCACGAGTTCCCCAATACAACGCTGAGGGCATCAAAACTCTCCTCCCAGCGCATGGGCTGAGTTAACGCCCAAAGAGTCGGCCGGCGCAGCGTTGAAGGACGAAACTGCTGTTCCAGGCGGTAACGTCAGTTGCACTTTGGTAGTATTTGTCAAAAAACATGCTTTGACCAACCAACGGGTGTTTCCAACCCCAAAGTCAAAGCAACTCGGGACTGTGGCAGAGAAGGTCCAAGCGGTCCCATCAGATAGTCGATGCAGGGAGTGAGGGATCTAGACTGTCTTCCTCTCGCACTTTGAGGGCCCGATGCATCTGGCACCTGAGTCGACTACAACTCTGCCACTTGATACTTATTGAGCGATAGTTTGGACGAAATACCTAACCAGTGTCCTTGTACGGGGCTGTATGGTCGGCGTGGTTCAGGCCATGCAAAGCACTCCTCACCTACTTGACTGTGAGGCATGCGTGAGAGGTGTTCTGGAGCGCATTCAGCTAGCATGAGTGGTTTAGACTACTACATAACTGTAGAGTAGGGGTACTGGCTCGCAAACATGCAAATGACCATTTCCTCCTACTCTAGCAAGATGAACTCAGTTGTGCTCAAATACATATGGTGGGAAGTAGAGAATATGCGGATAGCTGGTGCCACATACCTTTCCGCGAAATCTTCTAACATGCTGAGGGAAGTGCCTCTCGATGAGCGCCTTGCCAAAACATTTGCTCAGACCAAAGCAAACTGTCGCTCCGAGGGCCGTCATGCAACAGACCAACGGCAAGCCAAGCCGGGTGCCGTACAGCGAGCCAGCTAGCAGGTTCTGAAAGTAGTCAACTCCAGTTAATTACCATGAAAAAGGATCCGGGTATAGCGAATGCCTGTTTGTAGATATAGGCCAAACAGAAGAAGGCGAGTACATATTCTGCGTAGATGGTCTTATATACATTCAGGAGGCTGGCGAGCTCCATTACGTCCTCCCTGGATTTGGGAAGTTTCAGCGAACTACTGTTCATAGTAATGCCCAAAGTACTCCTGACTTACAGGTTTCTGGTGGTGTTGTCGTGGGAAACGCCTGCGTCGACTACTCGAAAAGTCAGCAAATGCTCCCCAAATTTGAGAAGGGCAAAAGAGTAGAGGAGGAAAAGGATAGGAAGGGCGAGAAAACGTAGGTAGGGGTCGTAACGCTTGAAGAATGTTTTCCGGCGCCGGTTGGCCATAGCTTTGACAGCCTAAGAGGAGACAAAAATTCAGATAAAAGTGAGTTAAGGACGCACTCCATCAGACCTACCCAAAGTCGGTTTGCAAAGAAAATTTCCTCATCAGGCGGAACGAGGAAAAGAACAATCTCTTGGCGAAGGGACTTGGGCAGGCATTGTTTTTGATTCGCAACACCATGATATGATATACAGTACATATACAAAATAAAATTACATTACGTGAGGTACATCAATACTCGTAAATAGCGCCCATTTCCTGTTTTGTAAAGACCCATCCCTCCTGGGGTATTTTATATGATATCTCCCAGTGTTTGGGGTTTCAATTACCTGAATTCGGCCGGGGTATTGTTAATTAGGTGTTGGAGTGCCTGGAGGTCGCTAACGCGAACTTAGAGGTCGCGCTATGGGAAGGACTGGGGAGTGACCAGACCTAAAGAACACGATGGTCAGGTTATGCCACGACCGCGGGACATTACGCTTTTCTCCAAAAACCTGCTGTCGCACCGCCCTGTCAGACGCACATGCCATGTTTACGTTCACTTGCTGCAAATATGGAATTTCGCCCATAGGCCGATATTCATCTGTAACTTTGAAATGCAAGGTCCCTTCATTTCGATGCCATCTCACACCAGCGCTTGCAGTTAAGGGGATGAAGTTCTATCTGACGAATTGACCTAAGGGTTTATCAGCCGATTATCTGTCGACATGGGATTCTAAAAGATCTACAATACTGATGGGAAGATGGGACGTCTCATTTTATTTTATCGCCGATGTCAAGGGCCTATTGGATCCTAGTCTGGTAGAGTATCCAAGTACAGAAAAAGGTCGTTATTCAACTTGTAGCCAAACCAGTTAAAAAGATGCTTCAGTAACTTTTAGCCGAAGTAGGACTTTGGATTCAGACACCACTGCAACTTATGCGTCGCATGCACTCCTTACCTGCCGGCAACCAGATGAGTGATGCGGTATTTCGCGAGACAAGTTGTCTATTCACATTCAGCAATTTTTAGTCATGTTCGAAGTGAGTACTTCTCTAGGTAATCTGGCCAATCATACCGAATGAATGAGGAAGTATTATGCATGAGTATGTACCATTTTAGCATCTAGCGGCCGGCGACTTCGAACGCCACATCCGATATGCTTTTTAACATCGATAACCACAGTGGTCTCACGGCAGAACACGAAACTCACCATCCGACATCGTCATCCCCGTGTTGCGCTTCTCAACAAGCAGAGCCGTCATCAGATCTTCGTACAACAACCAGCGAATTACGCCGTAGAGACTACGAAGACTTGGAAAACAGTACGACCGCTGTACACTCAGGTCATCTGGGAACTTCCCCTATCGACTGGCACTCTCATGTCTATATCCTCGCTGGCGTCGGCTCGAACATCTTGACGTCGTCACCTGCTAACATTCTGAGGGACTTTCCGCCCCTTATTTAAGAGCTAGGGTATTTTGTTTGGGGGATCGATAAATTCCGCCAATTGTATGGTTGAAGGATCTTTACTTGGCCGTATTACTTCGTGCGAGAGCGAACACAGGAAACGGGCATTGAGCAGAAGAAACTGAAAAAAGCAGTGTCCGGACCTCTAGTAGCATGTCGATGTCGTCGCGATTAACTCATACCGCCGCCTATCGAGATAGGTGCTCGGTGTGTTTTCATCCGCCAGCCGGTTTTTAGCACCTTCGCTCTGATTGGCAGTTGGTTTTGTTATGCTACGTTTGCGTCGCGCGAATGGCGCCACTACAGTTTGCTGTGCTGTGCCGCACGCGCACGTGACTCGGTATCCATCCCAATTCTTCTGTTGTTTACAATATCTGTTGAACTTTGACCATTCAACCTTACGTTATGCGCAAGTGGGTATCTCAGCAGACCCTAAGGTGACATACTGGTAGGGATGTAGAGGCAAGATGACGTGGAACTACCGAGGTAGTACATAAGCGCTGCAGGACGGGTAAAGATGCTACGATATGGCTGCCTAGCCGTCTGACCAAGAGGGAAGTAGTACAGGAGGTTCGCTTCTCCCACGATCTTCCGTCGGGAGAGAATGATACAATCGAACGTAGCACGTGTGCATCTACGTAGTCTTCGAGAAATATTCCAATCACTCGTCTCGGATATGCCTACCGACCCTCTTAAATGTTTACAGGCGTAATACTCTCTAAAGCAAACGTATGGGTAGCAACGAATACCTCCACATTGGAGTGGGAAATCAAATTAAAAGATCCCTCGAGAAGCGTATGATTGCCATAAGGGAGGACAAGGTTGTAAATAACTTTTCAATAGATGGCCTGCCACTGTTACGGAAGACCGAAATAGAACTGTGGCCAATGATTGCTGTGCCGATTGTAACGGCCGTTCTTCCGATAGCCATTTACTGCGGAAAAGGAAAGCCTTGCCACGAAGAATTTTGTAAGTAGACGGTTGACGAGACTAAACATGTTAAGGAACGTGGAGCTGAATGCGAAAATTCGCAATCGTCCGCGACATTTCGTGTAGTAGCCGTGATATACGGCTTTTGTTAAGCAGATGTGAATTGGCAGCGGAGGTATTACAGCTAAAACACGGGTACTTTAAAATTATTTGCAGATGTGAAAACACGCAGTAAGATAATAACTTTAAGGAAAAGTTGTACCTTACCGGGAGGAGCGGCAAAATGCAAGTGACACCTTAGGAACGGGAGCAATATTGCGAAGTCCAGAACTCACTTAGATCAGGTCGTATTCGGCCGATTTATTGTAGCGTAGTAA